TCTACACTTGATGTCGAAACCTATCAAATTAACTCCGATTGACCTCAAATTTTACACACAAGTCATAAATAATATAACGGAGCTATAAAAATTTTCAGAACTGGATTCCGACCCCGATATCAAAAAGTCAACTCCCCGGTCAAACTTCCAAACTTTAAATTCCTATTTTAGTCATTTCAAGCCTAATTTCACTACGGACTTCCAAATAAAATTCCGATCATGCTCTTAAGTCCAAAATCAATATACGGAGCTGTTGGAATTATCAAAATTCTATTCCGGAATCGTTTGCACATAATTAGACATCCGGTCACTATTTGAACTTAAACTTTTATTTTTTTCATCAAAATTCCATATCTCGGGTTAGGGACCTCGGAATTTGATTCCGGGCATACGCCTGAGTCCCAAATCACGATACGGACCTACCGAAACTGTCAAAATATTGATCCGAGTCCGTTTACTCAAAATATTGACCAAAATCAGCTCAATTAAGTTTTAAAGCTCTAATTCATATTTTAATCCTTTTTTCACATAAAAACTTTTCAGAAATCTTTACGGATTGTGCACGTAAGTCGAGGAATGATAAATAGTACTTTTCAAGGTCTTAGAACATATAATTAATTATTAAATTTAAAGATGATATTTTGGGTCATCACAGGGAAATATATTCACAAAGTTATACATGAGAAACTAGGCCAGACTTGATTGGGGTGAAAATGAAGAGATTGACCATCTGTGAGTGGAAGATATTGTGCTAGGCATATATATGCCAACTTCAAGGCAAATTCAGAGAAAAATGAACATTGTTTTTTTTGCAGAAAAAATGACCAGAAGATTGAAGGTTGAAGAGGAATAGGAGAAGAGAACCGTTGCTGCAGAAGACTGAAGAGTATTGGCGCATTTTGTTTCTGTTTTTGTAGGATTTTACTTATTGGAGATATTGATAAAATATTAATAAATCAAAAGAGCATAATCGTAGGGATGGCAAATTAGTCTAGATATATTATTTTTTCTATTAATCATAAATCTTTCTATATACTATATTAAAAGCGCATGTTTTACTCTTGAAAAATAAAGTTTACTTAGGACAAAATTATAATTAAATTATTTTTCTAATATTTAAGACTTCAAACTTAACTAAAATTTTGGTTATTAAATTTTTCCTTATTTGAATTATATATAAAATTCTTATATTTAGGACTTTAAAAATCGAAGTTTTATTTCACTAAAAGATTTCACGTATACAAATTCTTACCTCATTTAGATCGTGTAAAATAAAGCTAACGTGAAAGTTGAGTATTTTGCCTACAATATAGGCCTTCGAAAGTTCTAAAATTGCAGCTATATGAAATATATATATTTTTCCTAGCAGTTCCAACACCATAATCTCACATGGATAAGAAAACTTTGTCCGTCTCTTACCANATATATATATATATAAGTCCTAAATATGGTGAACTCTTGAAATTTCAAAATTGTTATTAGCAGAGTGCGTTCGGAATGAGTTTAGGATAGTATTAACTTTTATTTAGTATTGGGTGAACGTGCAAAGAAGGGAATTTAGACTTAAATCAATAAGAATCCAGACAACTTTTTTATACAAGAAGAGGTTCATTTGGCTTGTCTATAATTTTGATTAACTTTGAATGAAGAACTGTTTTTTTTTTTTTTCTGTATAATGATATTATGAAAGTACAGTTTACAAAGAGATGCTAGATGAGATACAACAACATAGCAAATTTATATCTTATTTAATAAATATTTATAACTATAAATAATATAGAACTAATTACACAAAATTCATTCAAAAAATATTGAATTCAACTATATATTGTATCAATGTACTAATAATTATTTTCACCATTTAAACATAAATTGCGTTTAGTTTTATCTCCGTTGCTATTTTTAAATAATTTGTATATTCATTTTATATTGATTAACGTGATGCACATGTGCAACGCACATACACTAAAACTAGTAAAATAAAATAGATGTTACAAAGAAGTTAGAATAGGGGAGGTTAGAGACGGACTCGTTGTTATTAAAAAAACTAATTTATGGACACACGCTTTGCGCGTGTATGCCTTATTAATTAAAATAAAAATTTAAAACGTACATAAATAATATCAACAAATTTGTTTCAGTTTAGAATAAAAAATAAAAAAAATGCAAATTTTTGAAAATGATAATATTGATCCTATTTAACTAACTGAATAAAGAAGAAAAAATTGTTCAACAAAATTATCCAGTGGGTGGTAAATATTAATGGAAGTATGGATAAGCAATAAACTATTTACCTACTAAATGCATATTGGCAATTTGGCATATCAACCAAGATCACCTAAGTAACCTTAATTTATCCAATTACTTGTCTAGCTATTTATCATTTAATTTGTACGAATCAACTTGCTCCCACGTTTGAATATAGAAGAAATAACGAATAATTCAAAAATTGAGACGACAACAATATAATTACTGAGAACAACAACGAAGAGAAAATCGATACATGAAATATGATTTCAATCTCTCTGTCCATAGTGCAGGGTCTGCATATCCCATAGCAGGGGCGGACCCAAGAAGGGTCAAGGGGGTTCAGTTGAATCCGCTTCGTTGAAAAATTGTACTGTATATACAGATAAATTATATTTATAACAAATTTATTTTTTATATAAATGATAACTTGAACCCACTTGTCACAATTGCGTTGTCTGTCAAGTTGGTCTAGCGGGTTCAAAATGTATAGATGATACTGAGTTCGAATCCATTTCGGCGTTCACGTACTACCATAAGGCAAAGACACTTTGTCCCTTCTATAGTTTATTTTATTTTCTATTTTACTTTATTTTAAAATCAACAATAATTATTCTATAGTTTAGTTTGCTTTAAAAAAATTAAACCTATCTACAACATGAATTTTGATTCAAATTTTAATGATACTAAAATTTCGGATTTGATATATAACTCCTTTTCGCAAATTATTGGAATTATTTTAGTATTTATTAAAAAATGTTATTCTCTTTTGTTTAGAATTAATTACTTCTAACATAATAACAAGAAAACATCTTGATTTTATATTAATATCTTAGGGCTAGTACTTTTTTTAAACTGAATTTCTTGAAGTAAAATTTGTTAAATTAAATAGATAAATTGCTAAAAATAGAAACATATAACTTTTGTATTTTTTTAAAAATATTTTTAACTTTGTTAAAACTATAGAGCACGACTTTAAAATGACTTTATTTTGAGATTTTTTTTGAGAAAAAAAAAGTGATCAAACCTTATATGCTTGTCATACAACACCGCTTATACTAATGTCTATCGTTGTATTATTTTTTTTGAATCCGCTTGTATAAAATTCTGGATCCGCCACTGTCCCATAGTGCCAAACTTAAGCTCACTGCTCACCATAAATTAGTGCAAAGACAAGAAGAAAGAATTATAGTGAAGATGTCAATCTATTATGTTAGACAAAGGTAGCTTCATATCAGAAAACAATATTTTGCTTTCTTTCAGTATCATATCATTACGAAATAAAATACTCAATAATATTTACAAAATTGAATATGAAATAGTTATAACATATATGGTATTTCTAATTCATGGAAACCGCAACTCTGCAAGTCAGTGGTGGACCCAGGATTTTGTGTAAGCGAGTTCAATCTTAGAAGTTCATAACTTTAGTCGTAAAATAGTAGTTGTCAAGTGAGTTCAAACAAAATATTTATACAAAAATTACGCAGCTTTAATTCTATTTATACATATACACAGTATTATTTTTTGATGAAGCGGGATTGCCACCACGTGCGTCCGCCACTGCAAGTACGACATCCATCCGTCATTATTACTACTTTGATATATAAATTACATAAAAGATTATAATTAATTCATGGAAAAGAATATCATTTATTAGAATGAATTAATAAGATTTTAGTATTACCTAAAAATCAATCTAAACGTACATATGGTACTGCAGAATACGAATATTCTTTCTTTTGTCACGCTACCACCTACTTGGTGATCATCTTTTTGATTATATTTCCATTTTAAAATCTTTTATGGCAGCCATTCCTCATTAAAAAAAACTTTAACCGACTGTTTCTTAGAATTGTCACTACTTTTTAGATACTCCAAGAAAGATAAAAATAAATCAATATTTTTTTTCTCTTGTATTTCTTTTTCATTTTCTAAATAAAGGACTGACATTTTTTAGAGGAAAAGGGGAACTGGTTAAAATGATTAAAAAACGATATGGAAATCACGACTCAAGATGATGGCTGTTGCTCAACGCTATTGAATGATAGACAGGAAAGGAGAATTTGGCGTCTTCAATCTTTGTTATCCACTGTCCAAGCATATAGTTGCAAAAAATTTAGGTCCTAACGAAACAACCAATAACAAATATGGCAACGATAGAAATGAAATTCAGCAAATTTAGCTATAAAAAAAAAAGGAAAATATAATTCAATAGGAGTATTATATAAAAAGAAATGTCCCACCTTGAAATGGAATAATTCATCCACTGCTGTACCTCTACGCAGTAAGAAATTTCGAGCTTTTATTTATCTCATCGACCTCTCTTCTATAGTGAATTGCTTTGGTTCAAGAGTTCGTTCAAACGATAGACGTTTTTCTTTTTTTTTTAATTGTGCAACAAAAAAAATGAAAACTGAAGGAAGCTGACGAATAAAAATTTGTCACAATGATGAAAGATGATATACACCTTATAACTCCATTAATTATCTATTTCTTACCTTTCACGTTGTTGAGATACTTATAATTTTATTATATCATTAAATAGCAATGAAGAGTGTTACTGTTCAAACAGATTTTTCATTCTGTAAATGAATCTGGCCTATAATTTGTATTGAATACGTCAAAACATTTCAAATTCGTCAGTTTTGTATTAATAAAGAGAAATACTTTTCTAATTTATTTCGATATCATTATTTGAGTGTACACTTACATCTTTGTACGAAAATGTTATTGGATTGGTTTTTGATTGAGGGGCAAAAATATCATTCAGCTTTATCGGGGCATTTTAGTCTTTCAACTTTCACTTTGAATGTTCCCAATGATGATATTATTGATGGTTTGCGGTCTTGCTCATGGTCTATTGCCAATATAGTAGAAGATATCCAGAGATTAATGCGACAAGGTACCTTTTATTTCAAGCACACTTTGAGGGGAGGGAATGCACTAGCGGACTACATGGCGGACATTGCTTTTGATGGTGGTGAAGTGAATGTCACCGCCATTAGCAGCTAAGAAACTCTTGAACATGGATAAGCACCAACTTGCATCGATACGAGGAGGCACAGTAATGCTAAAAGGTAGAATACATGTCAAATTAGGGCTATAAATTAGTAAAATGACCGACAAATGGAAGCCTTGGCGTAACTTATAAAGTTGTTGTCATGTGACTAGGAGATCACGGGTTCAAGCCGTGGAAACAGCCTCTAGCAGAAATGCAAGGTAAGGCTGCGTACAATAGACCTTGTGGTCCGGCCCTTCCCTGGACCTTGTGGTCTATTGTAAGGCTGCGTACAATAGACCTGAGCTCGATCTTCTCCTCCTCCTGCCACGCTTTTGCATGCGCCAGAATAAGAGCAATAGACCTAATAGTATTTGCAAAAGTTCATAAGAATAATTAACAGAACTATGTGAATCATCAAATAGTACAATGTTGCACTTACCAATTATGGCAACAATTGCCGGCACAAACCAGTGACTAGCAACCAGAAGAGGAACGTCAATCTGCAATTGAGGAAAAATGAAACTAGCTATTATATCTGTTTAAAAAAGGTTTCATAAACAAATGACTAGTGACTACTAAAAGTTCTTACATCATCTTTGTAGAATGAACTCCAGTACTTGTTCTCAAGAGAGTCACCATTCTTCTGAGCTGAATTAGATATTAACCAAACCGGTGTTTCAACAGTAGAATTTAGACCTCCACCCAAGTCATTGACAGGATAGGCGGGCAATCTGCGGTTCTTTCCCTTGGCCTGTAAATTGTAACCCTTAGTTTCCCATATTTCAAATCTTGAGTCACGCCCGCAGATCAATTCCTTTCCGACAACACTAGAATACATAGAAAAATTCACATCTGTTCTACGCGATGGTAGCTTGTTCTTATCAACATATAATGGTGTATTTTGTCTAACTGAATCTGAGAAAAATACAGGATCTTTTTTATTTCTGCTAGTAAAATCTAATATTTTCTTCAGAAGCCAATAACAATCGGTAACCATATGGCTGCCGTCCAAACAGTTTGAGTCCCCATATACTGCAACTCGGCCCCCATCAACCTCCAAAAGACCAAGAATAGGTGAAACTATCTGCATTCATAAAATATATTGAGTTAGATAGGCAGCTCAACTACTGCCTAGAAAATTGATAGGAATGCTAATATTATTGGCATAATCTTCATTGGATAATGTATATTTTTCCCAGTGTCCTTTTGTGCAATTTAAAGCAAGTAACAACAGACAATTATTTGTTTAAGATATTGAAGATTGAAGTACAATTCTATGTCATAACGAAAAGCATACTTCCCTTCAGTTACCCACCAAAATAGCAGTACAATTATCAAAGCTTTATGAAATAAAGTCGACTTCTAGAACACAACTTGGAGAGGCAGACAGTAGCGGAAGGTGGTTGGACTAACTGTAACACATTGTGTTTAATCTGGTTTAAAATGGAAAAAAAAAAAAAAAGACAATAGAAAATTACATACACACGCTNGGAATAAAAAAGACAATACACGCTTACGGAAAGCTAACTCACTTCAAAGTGCTTCAGCATTGGATTAGAGTACCCTAAAACACTACAGCCTCAAAGAGATACTCAATATCAGTTCAGGGATAAGCTAAAAGAGAGAAGTTTTGACAGTGTCATCTAGAGAAGTTTTGACAGTGTCATCTAACTCTTACTAAAGAATCTTGTGGCTTCTATGAACCTAAAGGTGAGGGATAGGTTAGGAAAAACTTATTATGAACAGTCTTCTTAGCTCACCTTAGTCATGCTCTGAGTGGCCCTGCTCTCTGATCTATCCAGGAAGGGGAAGCGGTGCAAGTATCCACTGCTTGGGAACTTCAAAATATCAGCCCCAGATGCATACTGATTTTGTTTATTGGAGAGGACAAAATCACCATTTAGAATTTTATCACCAAATGCAATCCCAAAGGTAGCCAAAAGATCATTCAGGGCAGGAACATTGGCACCTCCAGTTACTGGTGTCCACCAGCTATGGGTATTACCATCAAAGAACCTCATCTTTACCATTGCATTCACATTATACCAGTCAGCAAATACAGCTAGACCAAGACCTGAAGTAATGACATCATCTCTTAACTTCTTGATCTCTTCAGGGAAGTACTCATCCTCGAGATCCACCAGGAGAAGCGTTCCATACTGGTTCGCATCAAAACATGTGAGAGGGGAGCCAAGAGTTTCAATATAGTATCCAGTATCCCTTAGCATGTCAAACAGTGAATGAAAATTTGTATGCAGGTGATCTCCATGCCAGTCGAGCATGTCATTCCTAATATCCAAGGAGTCTATCGGAATATAACCAGGCGGATACTTGATGCTGTGAAATTGATCCCATAATATTCGTGCAGATCTTTGCGGAGTAGGAATTACTTGCAGTTTCAAGTGCAGGACACAGGTACTAATTCGACGACTCTTTTCTCCTACAGCTGGTGGGCTGTAGATTTTGACAGTTATGTTGCCTTCAATTTCTCCTAAAAACTGAGCTCCTTCTTCTTTGATTTGCATGTGTAGTGATAGATAACCACTCCAAGGCCAAATGACATCTGAATAAGTAAAACGGATGTTAAGAAGGTTACCTTCATCATTGGAAGGATGCCAGGTAGGTGGGCTCTCGACGTAACCAATTACACCCATTCCATTTAAAATAGTGGCATTAAAGATAACTGGCATTGCACCCGCATAAAGTGGTTGACGGCAAAATGGCCAAGAGTAAGGGCCATCAGTGTAATCAAGAACACTGGGAAAGATGCTTGCTCGAGGTTTATAGCTCTTCAAAATTTTATAGGACTCCAACCTGTCATTCACGTTGAAGGTTGACAAAATATAACTATGCAGTGAATATGTTTGAACAGCAGGAATAAATACAAAACTTACAAATTAACCCTGCCAGCACCCTGCTCATATAAGTTGGGACCAGAAAGCTTAGCGGCCCCCTCAACCAGCACTTGTTTGACACTAGCTGGATTTAGAATGTCCTTTCGCTTGCTCTCAGGTATGATACTAACAAGGAGACATACTATGCCAGCAACAACAGGACTCGCCACACTTGTGCCAGATAATCTTTTACAACCTGTGGTGATTTTGGATCCCATGATCTCACGTCCATATGCAACAATGTCTGGCTTTACACGACCATAACTGTCAGGGCACAGTATTGTTAAGAATCTATGGTTTGATAGACAAGTGTAATTATTGAACTGTCATTAGAAAAGCAAGAACCTAAAATATCAAAAATAGAAAAAGAAAATGAAGCAAAGAACTTAATTGTGAATTTTTTCTATTTTTTAATGTTTACAGTTCATCTCTATTCCTTTTATTTTTTCCTTAGAAGCTGAGTGCATAAAAACAAGACGCATTCAACAGATGCCATACTCCTGTTCATCCACAAAGATTTTGCCATTTTCACCCATCATTTTCCGCTCAGCAGAATTTTACTCGAAACATCAAAACCATGGATAAAACAAAGCTCATAAAATGCTCGTTTGTTTCAGAAGAGCTGATTTTTAAAGGCATCTTTTTTTAATGAAGCTGGTACATCCACACACTCATTGACTTCCTATGTGGTCATATACAGAACACAACTTTAATACAGGGAAGGAGAGGGCAGAAAAATAAAGGACTAGTCTGTATAACGACTATACTCCAGTGAAAAGAATAATACATAGCAAAGAAAGGAGAAAGGCATGATACCCATGAGGAATCTCCCAGGTACTCATTCCACGTGAAGAAAATGACGCTATATGATTGGTTTGATCAATGGCACCAACACCAATAACATCACTTTGATCTGCTGGATTGTTAAGAGTACCATAAAGTGGTCCATCATTTCCAATAGCGGAAACCATGATAATATTGTTTGCAGTAAGCTCCCAAACCTAGCAAAAATATTAATTACGTCCATAAATATAAAGCAACTATGAAGAGAGACTTATATATTCAGTTGCTTTATATTGAGGTGAGATTAGATAAGATTTCCACCTAAATGCATAAAATTCAAATATCTAAGCTCAATTTTCCATGAAAATAGTATGATCCATGAAGATTTATCACATCAAATTTAAATAGAATGGTTGAAATGGAGAAGTGCTATGGAGGTTTCTGCAATAAGAGGATACCTATCAGAGTGAATGACAAGTTAAGACAATGGTTACAAGACTAGAAATATTATGGCGGAGTACAATGTTTGGCTTTATACTAGAAAGATGAGCCTCACCGAAATGCATATGCAAGATGGATGTATGGTCATACAAGTTTTCAGAAAACCAGCAATGATTACATTTGACAGAACATAGAGGATAAAATAAGAAAATGTAGTTGAGATGATCTTATTATGTCCTAACTAAACCTCCAAAGAAATTGGTCTTTAGGTGTGAAACCATGATGATTGAAGGCGCCAAAAGAGATGCATACCTAGAATCACAAGGAAGTAAGCTGTCTCAGAAGACCTTTAATCTCGTAAAATTCATGCAGACTCAAAAGATCGACTATTAATCAAAGTGTAGTCATGGTAGTGCGCTTACTTAGGTCCAGTGACTCTAGGAACTTTTATAGACTCTCTAGAAATTTGTATGTCAGTACAAAAGAACCTCTAGATTTATACATATACAAACTATTGCATATTAAATGACACCAAATGGAGCAGAATGGATGATGAGGATTCATTAGCCAACCCAACTAGCTTGGAACTAAGGCGTAACTATTGTTGTTGTTGTACATCTCATCAATAGAAAGGTGAAAAGTTCTGCTAATGTTGTTTCAGGTCCTGCTGAAAGGAATGCTAATTTCAGTGAAATGACAGGCTTAAACAACTCAGAATTTTTCTACAAAAATGAGTACTACATATAATATACAACCCTTGTGTTTAAGACTCCATGACATAGTTCAGCTTGCAAAATTAATAGATCTCATGAAACAAATGCCCCAATAAGCTCACCAAAGGTAATTAAAATCCTTGTACTACATAAAGAAATATAAGATTAACAAGCTGCCAATTAAAATCAAAGTTTTAATACTTCCAAGACCATAAATTATACCGAAACTTAGACAATAATTATGTGGAGTCATGGAACAACAGCAAGATTATTTCAATGCCTAAGCTGTAGACAAAATGCAATCCAATATCATACCACATAGAAATAATAAAAATAAACTAATAGATCAGTTACCTCACCTTTTCCACAAAAGGGAGATCCAAATAATCAGGTCCACCGATGCTCAAATTCAGAACATCCATATTGGTTGCAATTGCGTAATTAAATGCATCGAGAAACCACGACGTGTAAGAGACCTGCGATAAACTGAAGAGACATTTCTCATAATGCTAAATTGATCATTACAAGATTGATCTTTTTATTTTCTAACCTTTTTATTGTTATTTTATAATAATGGTGTCAAGGCCAAACTTGCCACATCTCGACTATTCCACCGGGTACCTGCAACCTCCCACTAGCACAGGTACCGGGTAACTCCATGGGTAGATATCACCTAGCATTTTTTTCCGGGCTGGGATTTGAACCCTAGTCTCCAAGATTTTAGCCCACTTCATTGAACACTACCCCTCCACCCTTGGGTGCTACAAGATTGATCTTTTTTGTGTGAATAGACTCTCTTTCAAACCCCCACATCAAGGGTTCGAACCCATGATGCGTCTAACCACGCATCACTTGCTGCTCTCTTACCACTAGACCAAAGCCCGGGGGCAAGTACTCCATATCATCTTGATTGTCCTTAATTGCAGATATGATCTGTATCTACTGAAATCAATAGATTGTGTAGAAACAATGATAGGTAGCTTAAGTGGAACAACTGAGGTCCAAGATCAATAAGGTCTTTGCCTCAAATCTCCATGAAAGGAAAATAGTATTTAATGCCTCCCTTATGTAAGTAATTTTGTTTTCCAATTTATTATCAGAAACACTGTTACTTGTTATAATATCTAAAACAGCGCATACAGTTGTTATATAACATTTCAAACCGCTTATACCTTGCCAACAGTGGGTAATAGTTTTTTTTTAATCAAAAGATCCACCAGGTTGGTGGGGTTTAGGAGTAGCCCAAACCTGTGGGTAATATTATGTGCTTCCTTAAAAAACGAAATATAAAACATAGATTGCATAGAATTAGCAGAAAAGTTCCTGGCTTTTCTAAAACATAAAAGTAAGCAATGTCCTCCCTCCCCAATCCCCTGAAAAATAGTTGCATTTTGATCATTAAAGTAATAATAAGATGGCAGAAGAAATATTATATGTGCAATAACCTAGCAAGTAATATGGACCCCACCACTAACTACAATCAGTGTGCTTGGCCTCGGGAAAGGGTATGAGATAAATGTGCATATCAAGGTTCATAATCTTCCAAGACTTTACAGCTACACGACAATAAGTTAGAGCTTGCTCAAAATAAGCTGCAGAAGCAAAACGATTGGGAAGTGGACACTGTATCTTCGTTACTGTTATAGCTTCACAATACAATGCCTGTATCGTCTAGATCTAATTCTCTTATTTGGAAGGGTGATGTGAAAGGGAAATTCACCATGAAAGGGTGCTATAAACTTCAAAGAGACCTCTCAGCCAGCATCCCTCTTTGGCCGTGGAAGTGCATTTGGAGGAATAAGGCACCTTTGAAGGTAGAGTGCTTTACCTGGTTGGTTGCTCATGGAGCATGTTTAACTCATGAAAATCTTCAAAAAGAGGGGTCACTATGTGTAGCAGATGTCCACTTTGTGAAGGGCAGAATGAGGATATTAAGTATTAACCACCTATTTATTCACTGCTCATTCACCAAGAAAATCTGGGACCTCTTTTTCAGCATCTTAGGAGTTAACTGGATAGCACCAAATACAGCTATGGAATTGCTACAGTGCTGCCTTGCTGGTGCATCAAAGGGATGGAAAGACAAAAGTAAAAACTTGGAACTCTATTCCCTGCGCTCGCTGGTGGGTAATCTGGAAAGAAAGGAATGCAAGAATTTTTGAAAGCAAAGCTGAATCTGTAAGTAGCATAAAGCTATGTTGCTCAGACTCTTCAAAAGTATTGCCGGATGCGTGTCGGATCCTCCAAAAGTAGTGTATTTTTTTAGGATCCGAGACGGGTGCGGCAGCATTTTGAAAGTCCGCGCAACAAAGGTATAAAGTACAGATGCATCTCTCTTCTATTTTTTTGGTGTAACATGGCTAGTGCAAATGACATAGAAGCCATGATAGACTTTTTTGAGTTCTTTACATTTGCAACTGTAAAGGCTGTTAGTACTTTTTCAGCATCTCCTTGCTGCTGGGTTATCAATAAAATTACCTTTAACAATCAAAAAAAAAGGGTGCAGAAGCAAAACTTGTCATTTACGGAGACTAGGCAATCTAAAGTACTCTTTCTTCCATTCCAGTGCCATCAGGGTTGTTGGGATTGAAGATGAACTTTTCATTAAAGACTATAAAAGGGCAGCCCGGTGCACTAAGCTCCCGCTATCCGCAGGATCCGGGGAAGGGCCGGACCACAAGGGTCTATATTAAAGACTATGATTGCAAGAATTTGCTATATTAGGTTCACCATATTCATGAGGCAGATGTGGCGCACTCTACTAGCAGCAAAACTGGAGGGGGCGGGGGAAGGGAAGGATCTTAACACATCAAGAATTTGCCTTGCTGATATTAACAATGAAAGGACCTAATGGAAATCATCATTAGCACTCAGCAAGCAGCAAACTTGTATAAAACATCAGTACAATAAATTAGAGGCACTAATCCAAGATGCCAGATTGTTGCAGATCTTCAAGTCTCAGCTTACTTAAACAGTTTAAGAAAATAAAGCACCATCACACCCCAAAAGAAAAGGAATTGGAATACGTATTCAAAACAATCCATTACCTGTGCATCTGTAAATACACGGAAAGCATAGATTTCCGCATCTGGAGCAAAACCGAGGCATTCTTCATCCTGACCAGCAATAACACCAGCTACAAATGTCCCGTGTCCTACATTATCATTCAATGTATCTTCATTGGTCCAAGTTGTGCGTTCCTGAAATTTAATCAGGTAGCAAGCCGACTGTCTGTTACTAATGAGGTAAAGATGGTACCGCATTGACACGTATGTAAATGTAAATGTCAAGCCTCAAACGTCATTGGATTCAACTACAGCATTTCTTTGATCAAAAAAATATATTAAAAAGAGAAAAGATAAGATACCTTGATATTACGAAAATGCGGGTGATCTGCCCGGATACCTGTATCAAAAATGGCCATTTTGACCTTAGCACCAGTATGCCCTTTTGACCAAAGCTCATGTGCCCCAAAGAGGGATGTGACTTGAGATTTCTGCAAAATAATCATACAGGACAGACAACAAGTTTATCAAGAAAAATACAGCGAACAACAGCAATATGTTCAATCTAAAAATGAAAAGGAAAATAGAGCAGCAACGTGGGACCCAGACACTCAAAGAATGCAGTCCATGCTTTTCAAGAAGGAAGTATGCCCCGATAACCTTGAGGAAATAAGAATGACAAATTATAGACCAATTGACACTCTCAGATCTGAATGTTAAGCTCCAACCAAGTTAAAGTGAGCCTCTTAGTTATCTAAGGATATAGAAGTGGTTCTCTTTAGAGGTAATTTGGTGTCTAGAAAGACTTTTAAAAAAAATGGTCGCTAGAACCAGTGCAAAAGCAGAATATTGGGCCATCGCAGTGACAACTTGCGAAATATATGGATTATCTCACAAAGATTAAAATTTGTACTGATCAGTAAGGTGCAGCTTCTGTGTAATAATCAAGTTTCTCTTCATATTGTGTTGAATTCAGTATGTCATGAAAGAAATAAACAAATAAAATCAATTGTAACTTTGTCAGAGAGAAGATAATCTCAGAAGATATTGGCACAAGGCTCGTGCAGTCGAACACTTAGATTGTAGATATATCCGCAAGTTCTTCACTAGTCCCTGAATTAGTTACATATGTAACAAGCGCTAGAAAGGGAGTGTTAGATAGTTAAGTGTAAATAGGTAAATAGTTATGCTTATGATATCCCACTTCGGGAAATCACAGCTCTATACACCGTAAAGTGTGCCGATAAAAAGAATCAGTTGTAAGAACTTAGTCTTCAACCATTCTCTAATCTTTCTCATATTTTTCTCACTACGGAGTCTCAGCATCATGACAAATTAATAGAAGAACGAACACTTGATTAGACAAAAATAGGAAAAGGACAAAGACAAAAGGAAAATGAATGAGATTAATTTCCTGAGAACATATTCCATGCAATAAAGTTGACTCTATCACATGTCATGATTGCAAAAAGAAAAGTTGCATTCGTTCCAACGACGTAAATTATAGTAAATGCATACATTAAAAAAAATACAAACATATCAGCGGTCTTGCCTGCATTAATAGATGTCTATTCCAGTTAATCTTCATTTCACTAGTGTTGGCCACTCCGTAGTTTTGACCTTCACTGAAGGACATAGCAGTAAAAATCTTTCCTGGCCTCTTCTTCCCATTGGTGAAAACCCCAATCTTCTCACTTTTCTCTTCAAGAACTATCCTTTGATAGCTCAAATCCAATGAAACGTCTTTTACAAGGTCCAATTTCCTAAACTTTTCTAGCAAGAGTTCGTTCACTGATACGTCGATTGCCACCAATCCAAAGTCAGTGAGAAATCTCGCAGCTGGATTTTTCCGCTCAATCCATTGCCAACCCTTAAATTTCAAGTGGTCGTGAAGACAATGCCAATGATCTTCAGCTGTCCTATAATGATAGAATCGAACAATATAATTTCTGCTATCAGATTGTTGCTTCTGGTCATGTTGGTAGCAATCAGAGCTACTAGAAATTAATGGCTCAGACTCTATTGGTGGGTCGACGCAGATGAGTGTATATGCCAGAATGAAGGGGATAAGAGAGAGGGTGATGAATGATTTTTGAGGCATGTTGCAAGAATGAAATATCTCTCATCAAAGCAATGAGGACTGAGAGTAATCAGAGGTCTTAACCTGTACTCGAGCACAATCAAAATCCTGTTCCCTAGTTTACCGTTGTACTTGAATGATAATAATTTGCTTTAACATGGCCTTCATATCCCAAATCTTTAGAAACTATAACCCTCTTGGCCTCTTCAAAACAGGCTCTACCTGCTTCAGCTGATGCATGTCCTCAGCTAACAGTAAAATCACTAGCCTATGATAAATAAAGCTGCTTCCAATTACTGAACTTGCGGCAAGACCTGCGTTCTTGATACTGAAGAGAAATGCAGCATTAGTTCGATAGAAATTCAACAAAAGGCTAAATTCCATACTAATTGATCAAATGAGAACGCCAAAAAAAAAATATAGTGCAGGCAATAAAGGGCATATCATTAACTTATTTTTTTCTAAGTGTTTCTAACCTTTTGGATAATGAAACAAGATATTCTCTCATAATCTTAAAAATTCAGCAGAAATGTTTCCAATATTCCAGCTTTCTACCAAAATGTTGAGGAAAAAAAATATGTGCAGTAACATAGTTCCATCCAGAATCAATGTGGTTTGAAATTTGAAAATTGAAATCATAGTCTGATATGCATTTCACAAATTTTTGGACTTTACACAAATCAACTCACTTTCAACAAAATTATCTTAAATTCGAGAAACCAAAGGTGGTTATGATTCAATTATTAAGCAACATTATGTTAGTTATCTTTCAAGCATTTTTTTTTTGGCCTCAATTTTGAACGTAAATTGAACAACTAAAACTTGTTTTGAAAACAAAGCAACAATGTACGAACTGATCTTATTTCCAAAAAGAACACAAATTGCAGGGTGATGAAGAGAGATTGAAAACTTACCACAAATTCCAAATGAGTGCAAAACTGGAAAAAAAAAATTGATATACAGATAGTTGAGCTAGTAGAATCGGAGACGATGACGGAGAATTTTGATGCTTATACTACAAAAGGAATGAAAGACTGACAGTGAGAGAAGGGGTTTAAAGTAAAATAAAGAATTAAATATATGATATTTATTAATGTTTGATATTAGAATATCTAATTTCAAAGAGATTGTATTGCTGGTTAAAATATGAGAATAATTATTCATGAACACTTTAATTAAGTAATTAATTAAAAGATCTGATTAATCTGCTGACTGATATAAACTTTCATTCTTGAAAAATGTAAAGTCCAAGATTTTGTTAGCTTAAGCAGATTTTGGCATCAACTCCCCGCTTGTATTTGGAAAAGCTTCTTGTTCAAATAGTAATTCCTTTTCTCAAATATATTTTCCTGAAAAGCGATTTATCTTAGGACAGTGTTTATGAAAGCCACCACTCACTCGTAAAACAACTCATGCATAATTACATTGTATGTTATTGCGTTAATAATAATATAAAAATTATTATGCGATAACTAATAATATATGAATTGCCTTGCAAAGATTGCACTGCAAAATTAAGTATGAGCTTTACTAATAATTATACATGTATAAATTTAGTTTAAAATTTTTAAATGGAATATGAAAAATTCTTACTATATAATGCAAAGCCCAAATTAGTGCAAAGCAAGCTTTACAGTCATCAGCCTTGTGAATTGTAATTAGCTTATGCATATGGAGTATTTCAGTGAGTTCTCATTCAATTATTCCATTACCTTCTTCGACAGAAGTTTTATTTCATGTCAAATGCAAAAGGGAGGAAAACAATCCAACTACCTTTTGAATTTTGCCTATACCATCCGTCATATTGGTAAAGAGATATGGTCCAATGTGAGACATATCTATAACACTTATAATATCACAACTTCTTAATACTAACGTCGCTGGAACAATTGCCAGATAAACTTCTAGAGAAGTCTCGTTTTTTTGGTTTGGGTGGGGGAGGGTAATTACCACATACTTTAGGGTAACAATATGAACTTCAGGAAAGAACCAAAATTTCCAGTACAATACCTAGATCAAAAACTGTTTGTTCACAAACTCAAGATAGCTAATAGCCTGTTACATGCTTAAAAGTATTTTGGCAAAGAGGGCAACTTAAGATCTGGGTTTCTCTTTCTTCTCCTTGAAGAGAGCCAGAAGAGAGACACCAGAAACCTTCACAACCTTGAACCTAACACCAGGAATATCTCCCACGGCATGGCCTGTACGACCAAATCCAGCGATCAACACCTCATCCTGCAATGTAACAAGGTTAGCAACAAGAAAACTGAAAAGAAAAAGTTGAGACATGTGAAGGAGAGAGTACGAGAAAGCAAAAGGACGCACGTTTTCTTCAATGTAGTTCAAACAACCATCGTTGGGGACAAAAGCAGCAATCTTCTTCCCATTTTTGATGAGTTGAACCCTAGCACATTTACGAATAGCAGAGTTTGGCTGCTTAGCTTCAATACCTCTGCACAAGACATTCCAGCAAGTTTGATGGTTAGAGCCAAGTTCTATAAATCTGCGCTTGGAGGACACTGTAACTATAAACAGAGTAAAGTGGACCTACATCTTCTCAAGCACAATGCCTTTGGCATGGGATGACCCAGCAAATGGCTTCTTCCATTCGTTCCCAAGATGGGACTTCTTGTAGGACTTGTCAGCCCACCTTTGCCTTCTGCGGTGAGACTTCAGCTTGCGTCCAGCTCCCATACCGCGTGTCTTCCTGCAAAATTTTACCCATAATGACATAGTTTAATGAGCAATATGGCTATGCATTCCCCCTTCAACTAGTACCTTCTCAAGAAATCATAGGAATCAAGAATGAACTAATCGTCCAAAGCAACACAAACATAATCTTAATGGGCAATGATCATCTCTCCCAACCGCAAAGATCTCTTAATTAGTAGCTTAGAGTTTGTTCTTCAGAGCTCGGCCAGAAGCTTACAAAAAGAATTTTAGGTCCATTTTGGGTTGAGGGAAGTGAATTAATGAGGGATTTTTATCAACAAATTTCATAGACACACTGTCTAGCATCAATTGATAACAGAAATCCTATAAGATAAAGTAATATAGGAACAGAGATATAAAGAGAGGGAAGTAGAGACTATTTTTTGATTGATAAGGATGTAGAGATTATTATTAGTTTATCTCACTCAAGTTGTATGTATCATCGAGCTAAGAATACTTTATAGAGTGCAAAATCTATCCCAAGGGTCACAAGATTGAAGTAGACAATTTAATAGATAACTTATTCTATGAACCATATAGAGCATAATGTATACATTGTCTCCTTAACTCTTCTGATTCTTGGGGTGAAGTTTGCATCCTAAAATAGGCTATCTTAGCCCTATGAAATACACACTTGAATGAGATTATCTAATACTCCCTTCGTTTCAATTTAAGTGAACCTTTTTACTTTTTAATCCGTGCCAAAAAGAATGACCCTTTACTTATTTGGAAACAATTTACCCCCACACAAAATGTGTCTCAATTTACACCATAAGTTTAAAAGTCTCCTCTCTTTTCTTAAACTCCGTGCCCGGTCAAATAGGTTCACACAAATTGAAACGGAAGGAGTAACAATCTCCACACTTACTTTGGTAGATCCCAAGTCAACAATGATCAAAACAATTGTTGTAAATTCATGTAGTAATTCATTAAGAATTGGCAGGATCTTTAGGGGAAGCAGACAAGAGATGTAGGAAAGCAGTGTGGACGGAAAACCCGTGTTGATAATGTGTTTAAGACAATACTCCCTGTTCGAATTTATGTGGTAGTTTTTCCTTTTTAGTTCGTACTGAAAAGAATGGTAGCTTTCTATATTTGAAAACAATTTAACTAGAACTTTCAACTTTACCTTAATGATAAGCTTTTATAGCTAGACAAATGTAATGGCATGTTTAAGACCAGAAATGACAAAAGTCATTCTTACTTTCTTAAACTCATTTTCCAGTCATACTATGGCACATAAATTGAAAAGGAGAGAGTAGTAAGCATAGCAAGAGATATGGAAAAGATTAGTATTCTCACTTGAGGCGTGTTCTTCATAGGGTTAAGAATATGTATAAATGAGTGATAAGTTAGCAATGTATCCCCTTTTAATTTTCCTTTAATATCCTCGTAAAGCCCATATCATCTCTTTAATGGTAATTGGTGAGACTGTTTCGTCCATTCACCCAAATTTGATAAAACACGCCCTCTTCCCATCATCTAGGCCTCTCTCCACATTCCTCATTGGCAGTGAAATCAAAAGGTCATGTTCATTTTTGGGCGAACTCATTTTCACCGTCGACAACTCCTCTTTGTTCGTTAGCCATTACAATTTTAATTTTCTAATCTTTCCTCTTCTTCGGCGGTTACTCCTCTCTATTTCGAAAAATACCTTCTTTACCAAAACAAAAATTGGCACCCCTTCTCCATTCTTTCATATTTACTAATGATTTACTATTTTCCATTTCTTTTTCCAGTTAAATCGTACTCCATTTTTTTTCCAACAAACTTATATCCAATTCTTTCTTCGACTAATACAAAACCATAAGTCCATGAAGACCAGACTCTAAAGAAGTCAACTTTATAGTCTTTGAGCTCTAACTCATGAAAAAAATGGTGATTGTATATCTGCATTTAATAGATTTGCAGGAACACAAAGGAGAAGAAAGAGAAAGAAGGACCAAACTTTGGTATTTAGGGTATAACGATGAAAAGCCCAACATTTTAGTGTCTTAGCGATGTACTCCTAAAGATGTCAAAGGAAAATTAAAACGGGGACAATGCTAACCTACTATAGCAATGTAATAGGTTAGCAAGACCCTATATATACAAATATATATATATATATATATAGGGTTTTGCTAACCTACTAGATGAGTGTACTAAGGTAGCACTCTTCCCATTTTTTATTTCCTTGACCTTAAATACCCTTACTATTTCTTGTCAACTTGACAAAGATAGGACCTTTTTTTAATTGAAACACAACCCCCCATATTCTTTTCCATGATTCTCCATTTTATCTTCAGTTTAATTGAGGATATTAATGAATAGAATTTGGACCATTTCTCGATTTGTGCCTATCATTCCATGTTAATCTTTTCTGCATCATTTCCAATTTTAAAATCTTAAATAGAATAATATATCTAAAGGCTTGTTTCTCTTATATCTGATTTTGATGTAATACTTTTGGATATTTTTTCTTTAGCCAATAGTTTCATTTGGTGGGTAAAAGTTGCAAGTTTTGATAATCATATTTTAGTAAAATCGAAGCATTAAAACCTTTCAAATAAACTTGGCTCTGTTATAGATGAACTTGGTGTTTTTCGGGTTAATAAGAAGGGTATTTAGGTAATTTAACCTTTTGATTTAAGGTTCATAATTTTTCCATTCAACCATAAATGGGTTTTCCAAAATCATGTGTACTAAATGATTTGAAATCCACGCGTAATGCATGTGCTGAAAAACTAGTATATACATCTATATTTGCATTTTTACAAACGTAAGAATCTAAACTAAAAGGTTAAATTACATAAATACCCTTCTTATTAACCTAAATACCCTACTTATTAAAAAATATCAAGTTTATCTTTAAAACACCAAATTTATTTGAACAAGTGTATCCTTCTAAAAGCACCACATGTATAGGATCTAAAATCCATCTTAAGAATCATAAGGATTAAGTACACCGACTTCATACACACATGTATAATTTACATGGTTCATGGGAAAAGAGGTATAGGATTAGTTTAATGTATTCACAACACTCTGCATTATATATCCATAACCCAACATGTTGGGACGATCTGTTTCAAGATAATAAATCCAATGAACTGTGTAGATTATACGTATATCTATTACACTGTCTATTCAAGTCTAGTGACTATTGTGGTGGATTTTGCACCATAGAAGTAGGTACACTTAGCCTGTGAAAGATAGGGTTGAATAAGATATGAAGTAACAATCTCCACACTCCTTTTTTTATTTCAATCTCTACATTACTTGTTCATTTTTTTATCATTTTGTAACATTACTGGGATTTCCCTACTGAACATTCATGCCATCATTTTTTCCATACAAATGCATTATGCCACAAAGGAAAAAAGCATTTAAATCTGCCAATTTTTGGTACCTGCACAGATCTAACGTACTTAAACACTCACCATATCTACCATTACCATCAGCTTGCAGGGAAAATAAAACAATCAACGTGAAATCATTCCCTTAGATAATTCATTCGATAGAATTAACAATAAATAAGAGTTAATAGAACATATAGAATCAGAATCAAAAAAAAAAAAAAAAAAAAAAAATCTCTTTTACTTTTTACTTCCATAATAGCGCCACTAGCAGATGATAGCAAATGAGAAAGTTCAAATGGAAGTAATGTATTATGTATAGCGGTGGATAATTGCAATAAGTAAATCGAAATGGAAAAAAAATGGAGGAAAAAGAAGAAGAAAGTTTACCCCATGTTTGCTGAGTGACAGAGGACTCCAACTTCAGACTCTTGTTTGATATGTTGCTGATGAGGAGAAGCAGCACACAGCAGCCTAATAAAACCCTAACCTATCCATAAATTAGATCTGGGTTTGGGCTGCTTGAGGAAGTTGGGTTCTAAGAATGGTTTGGGGCGAAGTGCGTAGCCACTTTTAAGTCTGTTATTTAAATTATATTCATACTTTACAATATATTTAAAGATTAGCCAATTCATCCAAACTTCAAGAATCAAGATTAAGGACCCGTTTGGCCATAGATTTTGCCAAAATAAACTTGATTTTTATTTGGCAAACACATGTTTGGCCATAGATTTTGCCTATATTTTGGCCAAATCTCAAATCCCAAAACCAGCTCAATAGCTTGTTTTGGGCCAAAATATCAATATTATATTTTTTTAAAATTACCCCAAACTTTTATATTTTATAAAAGAGCCCACCATTTATTATTTTGTAACGATGTTGCTTCATCTTCTCGGTCATCTGATAGTGTATCATGTAGTTCATTATAAAAATGATAATTTTGTATCAAATTTATTTATGTTCAGGACTATGGTTTGCGATAATATAATGAATGTTATTTATAATGGTATTGTTGGGTATTTGTGATAGTTTTTAGAACTTATGGGTATAAGTCATGTTTCATATTTTTCCAAACCAAACTTCACCCAAAACAGATGTCCAAACACATTTTCATCTTCAAACCAAACTTCACCCGAATCAGATTTTTCAGAATAAATTTGGGAATCTATGGCCAAACGCTGGCTAAGTATCCTGAATTTTTGAGCTGCTAATTTGAAATTCAAAATTAAATGTCCTGAATTTCTGAACTACTAATTTAAAATTCAGGATATTAGATTCAAATTTTTGGACATAATTTTCGAACTTAAAGATTAAAAGTTTATAATTCAGGACGTCGTGTCCTGAAGTTTGAACAAATTGGCTAATCATTAAATATATTATAAATTGTGAATATATTTTAAACAATATGCTCAAAAGTGGCTACCTGATGTCATTTCCACTGCTTTGAGGCGTTTCCTCAGGCCCGCAGTATCCGGCTTCTATAATCGTAAAAATAGCACCGGGTAACCGCTTTTAGATACTCTCTTTAAGATTTAGCCAATTCTTTTAAAAGCTATTTAAAGTTTAGCAAATAATTTGAGAAACTTCAGATTGCCCTCGGCTTCCTTATGATTAGTTATAGTCCTTTGCAACTCTATCCACTCTATCCCGCTTTTGTAAGTTCCCTCTTAGCCATTCGACTTTCCAAGAGATATAATTTATAAGCTACCATATTGTGCATGTGATATGTTGTTTTAGATGAATTATAATTCATCTTTACATGAAATGTTAATATCGATTAATTAAAATCAAATTATAAGTTCATTAGAGTTTTCTATGACTTGTGTCCAATAATTATGTGTCACACCTTGTAAATGTTGTGTCCATCTTTATTCTTCTCTATGCTTTTATATATTTGATTATGTGTCTTTCATTACGCACACCTTTCGTAACAAATTTATAAAAGAGTTGTGATTGAATACTGCAATCTAGGTTCTGACACCTGACATCATTCTCTAATAAAATACGAGAGGAATAAATCTTAATGGTGGATCGAGTTTTATTCTGTTGAGATTAAAATTAAATCCTTCTTGATTATACAAAATGGGAGCATTGGCGTAACTGGTAAAGTTGTGGCCACGTGACCACGAGGTCACGGGTTCGAGCCATTGAAATCCCTGTGTACAATAGACCTTTGTGGTCTGGCACTTCCCCGAACCCCGCGTATAACGGGAGCTTAGTGCACGTTTCGAAGCGATGAATAGATCAAATTCTACTCTTAATTATTTATCTTTGCTTCATTACATTTGCAGATTTGTTGAAAATACTAGCGTACACCAACTACCATATAAACAGGAAATTGTAACCAAAAGAAAGTACAGCACTTACAACCTCCTTCGGAAACACACAGTTACAGTATTTGCAGATGAGATCATAGAGTGTTATTAATTTCCAAATAGCTATACAAAAATCCGCTAAGCGATTGATATATAGTAGATTTATTAACAAAAACTGGAAACATAAACTACACTATGAGTAATAGAGAAATCAAACAGTGATTATTTAATAGCAACCTGCAAGATAAGCTTCTACTTCTGGCCTTTTTTCAATAAAACACCAATCTTTTTCAACATGTTGCCATTCTTCTTCTTTGGCGATTCATCATCTGTATCTTCAGATAATGGAGAATCCAGCTTCCCACCAATAGTATGGTAATCTAAAGAACCTGTTCTCTCTACATATTTGCCGTTGTTGCCGGTTGAAAGCATAGCTGCAGCTGCCTCAGCAGCTTTCCTCCACTGATCAGCTTGCACTTTTAACCTCCTCAACTCGGCTTCCATCTCGGAGTTAGCATTCTGTGCTGCATCCAACTGCTCGGCAACACGTGCTGCCTTTCGGCTACTTTCATCTGCTTCATCTGTCAAATGTCCTAACTTCATCAGAGCCTCTCTTTCTACACCTCTCGCGGCTTCTGCCACAGCAAGAGTTTCATCATTTACTTTGCTACCCTCGGTTTCCCTCTTCTTGATTTCTGACTTCAGCATCTCATTTTCCTCCTTAATATTCTGCAACTCTGTCTCTTTGTCCAATAAACTCGCCCGCAAATCTCCCAAAGTTGACTCTGATTCCTTCAGTACAGCTACTAATTCAGATTCTCTATCAGCAGACTGTATTTTCTCAACTTGCATATTTAGCTCCTTATTTTCGTCCGAAATATTTTGTAACTTAGCTTCTTTGTTCATCAGTTTCTCCTTTAACTCTTCCAACTCCGCTTTTGCAACCTTTAACTTCGCCTCCCATTCAGCCTCTCTCTGAACTGATTCAGACTTTGATTGTTCAACTAACTCATAAGCACTTCTAATCTGCAAAGTGCTTTGGATATATTCTTCCTGATATCTTCTTTCCGAAACCTCCAATGCAGTTTTCAGTTGGCTTACCTCAAGTTTTAGATTACTGAGCTCAGTTTTGAGTTCCTCGGCTTCCTCATTAACTCCGTCTGCAGTAACTTGAGCGGTTTGGAGCTCACTGACAAGTTCCTCCAATGTAGCTACTTGATTCTTTGACTGTTCTAATTCCAATGATAAGGATTTGCAAGCCTCCATTGCTTTTAGACCTTCCGAACGTAGAGAATCCTCGGTCATCTTTGCTACTTCCAGCTGCATCTGAGCTTTACTCATTTCTTCAAGTGCACAAGCCTCAGATTCTTTGCTATCATTTAGCTGGTTTCTCAATTTCTCGACCAATGTAAGGGTCTCCATAAGTTCTCCCCTTAAGCTTTGAATCTCAGCATAAGCTGATTCAGCGTGGCGAGCTTGATTGGCTTCAGAATCAGCCACTCTGTCCAATTGACTTTTAAGCTTCTGGATTTCATTCATGGCGGAAGCAAGAGCAGCGGAGTCATATTCATGCTGCTTCTGGACAGCCTCGAGTTCAGATTGCCATGCTCGATCTCGATCTTGTGAAATCTTGCGTAGTTCCAGGATTCGAGCATCCTCAGAATCTGAGAGCTCAACTAGTTGTTTCTCGGACTCCTCGAGCTTTTCTGACATGGCTGCAAGCTGCTTCTTAGCTTCTTCCGCCTCTATTTGAGCCCTCCTCTTTAATGACTCGGATGAAGTGAGCTGATCCTTTACCTTCTTCAGCTCATCTTGGAGTTGAGCAAGCTCGGTTTCCAAGTCAGTAACTTTGGTTGGATGCTTCTTCTGTTTATACAAAGTACGAAAAATGAGCAAATTAGCAACATTTGAGGACCTCTAAGCGGGAAAAGAGCAACAGAAACAGCAGCATTAAGAATAGAAAGATAATTTTGTAAATTTGGATTTTAAGTTGTATAAGTAGAATATTTCCATCAAATACTGCTAGTACCTTGAACCAGCTAGAGTCAGACAGGAAACCAAAATAAAGAACAAAGTTATTTTAAATGGTTATTTTGAAGCATACTAGTTAAAGCATAAATGAACGTCGTAACTGCCAGTTTGTAAGAACGAGAGTTTTAACTTAATTGCACATATTTGATAGACTTGTCCTAGTTGCAGAAATTTTAATAAGCCTAAGCATATAAGTTTCTTCTTTACCTCCACCACTGGACTTCGTGGAGAACGGCGGCCAACAACTTTGACACCCCTCTCATTAGGTGTACTGGTAGCTGGATTTGGAGCTGACAATGAATCAGCATCTGACCCTGAAGTTTTAAGCTTTCGAGCTGTTTTTGGTGCTGGAGATTTCCTTTGTGGCACCTCCACAGAAATATTCCTTCAGCCAAATACAAGGACAGAGGTAATGATATGTTCAGACAAAAATCTAGTACTTGAAATATATGTGAATCGCCATCAGATTATTGATTTCAAAACCTCTATACAAAAGAACATTGCAGAATTGGCAAATAACATTCCTATTTTCTGGAAACATGTTGTGATCTGGTTTGAACTTGGAGAAGAATCACTCTTGTTATAGTATTCTATTGCTAGGACTAATATGTTACAGAAGCTTACATGTTAAATGGTCAAAGATTTTCATTCACATAATAGGTAATACGAGAGACGTTGAATCAAACTCTTTTCTTCTTCCCCTTTTTTATGTTATAAGTATCGAACTCTTTTGCACGAATGGCGCACATACTACAGTTACAAACATTGCTCTGAGACCTGTAGTTTGATTTGAGGTATAAAACTTTACTTTACTTCTAGGTACTTGGTAACTTCGTCAAGCCTGTACGCAGACACTGCTGCAGGCGTATCTGTAACTAACTTCACATTATTTCATGCATGAGGTATTACACTCCTTTAGGGTGCGGTCCTTCCCCGAATCCTACGTTAACGCGAGATACTTTGTTCACCGGGCTGCATGCCAAGCATGAGGTATTGTAAATTTGTAATTTATTTTATTCACTCTTTTAATCGATAAATCGATCTTCATATACTATAATCAACAACCAATGCTTTCAAAGCTCATGGAAGAAAGGGGAAAAAAATGAAACATGAGGAAGGCTTTTGAATTACATGTAAAAAGAAGATCAATAAATGCAGAGTGGGATACCCATAGACTACTGACAAATCTGATTAAATTAGAAATACCTTGATTTTGGTGTCTGCATATTAATTTCCTCTCAGCAACACCTGAAATAATTCAGAAGATTCCTTGGTTTAGAAAGAAATTTTATTAAATATGCAAATTTCAATCTACATCCAAATTAGAAACCAAACTAAGTAAACACACCATCCCTTCGAAGGAACTCCAGATACAAACTACCTCCACTACCACCAACCAAACCTACAATACAAGAGCAAGAAGCCAAAATACTAAAAAGAGAAAAAATGGAAAGGAAGTTTCAACATAAGAAAACAAATGTCATTATGTAAGCCATATCTAAATTCAATTCTTTTTTTTCCTTTTACTTCATTTCTACTCCTGTGCTTATACTGTATAGCAATAACACTTTTGGACAAAATCATATATGCCTAAGAAAATGATATTAGAACCACATTTCAAAAATATTTGAAAAGTCCCATTTAACATAGTAATCACTAATGACTTTATGGAACACTAATTAACACATAATGGGAAATCTTTTGTTGATTCTTTTTTTAAGTTTATAATATCCACATAGATCTCATAAAAATAACAAACAACAGTGTAATCTCATACGTGTGTACGCAGACCTTACCCCTATCTTGTGAAGATAAAGAGGTTATTTCCGATAGACGCTCGACTCAAGGAAAGCAAATTCACAGCTGTGTTGATAAAAATACGGAGATCTCATAAAAATAACCCACTACATAACGTAACAAGTTTAAGCTCTGCTAATATTTAGGCAAAATAAGACCTTATTTTAAGCTATCTAAACCTCCACTTTAGAAGCTGATAAGAAGTTGATTACTTTATGTACTTGTACTTTAACTTTTTTGCTGAAGTAAAAGAAAAACAAAAAAATAAAGAAATTTCAGTTCTCAGGTGATAATTTTTCTCAAAATAAGTTACTTATACTGAATAGATCTAACAAGTCTCGTTTTACTATCTAAACATAACAGAAAACAGAAAACAACAGAAGAAAAAAAACAGTATGGTGCACAAAGTCCCGCGTTCACGCAAGGTCGGGAAGATCCGCACGCGTGTGACGTAGACAATCTAACCAATGCAAGCATTAATGGCTTCTCCTACCGCTCATACTCGTGACTTTATTGAACTTTGCAAACCTCAAACGCCAACTTACACTTAAAAACCAACTAAAAACATACTCAAGGACTGAAGCTTAATTCTAAAGAAAGCAACACCCATTCAACCAAAAAAGAAAAAAGAAAAGAAAAAGAAACCAAAACCACATGAAAAATGAATGTTTTCAACAACCACTAGTAGTGTAGTACAACAAACACATGAAAACAGAGGGACAAACATAACCATTACAGTATAAAAGAAACAGTTTTGAACTGACCAGAAAGATCTCAGTCAAGTGAAAATAAAGCTTTCTAGTGAAAACCAGCAGCTGCTATCTTTTGCAAAAAAGAAAAACTCCAAGAAAATGCCTAAGGAGAAGAAGAAGAAGAAAGATCCAGTGAGTTTTCCAATTAAGTCACTGTCCTCTTTGTTTTTGTCTCTGTTCTTCACTTGTCTTATATATAGTTCTGTTTTTGTCAGGGAAACGAAGAAAGTGAAAAGATAGGAGTATTAGGAAAAAGATGGAAAGAAGTGCTGAATTGGATAATTAAATTAATACCCACTCTCGTGAAACACGCGCTTTAACCACGCTCTATTGGATGTTGTGGGACCCAAGGTTAGTGAATGATACCTCTCAAAGTTACCGAACAACAACCCAGTATAATTTCACTTGTGGATCTGGGAAAAGTAGTGTGTACGCAGACCTTACCCCTACCTTGGAGTAGAAAGGCTGTTTCCGATAAACCCTCGGCTCCATCCCTCCAAGAACTTTCCACCTTATTCTTGGGATGACTCGAACTCACAATCTCTTAGTTGAAAGCGGAGATACTTGACACTATAGCAACCACTGCCAAACAAAGCACTGAATTGGATGGCTTTCACTTGTTTTCTAGTCCAATGATAGTGACTACTCTACTTCAATCTGTTTTCCATTTTTGTTCTGTCTAATTTTTTATATTTTTTGGGCTTGTAAGTTAGTCTAAAATGAAAGTCAATGAGGAAAAATTACTGCTTCTTTTCTTCCTTCTTCATATTTGGTGGTTTTACATATGAATAATATTAGAGTAAATATTGGTGAATTGTTTTTCGGCATGTTTTTACTGTTTCTTTTTCGTAATTCTTTGTTAAAACTGTTGTGATTTTATTCTCAGTGTGCCGAAGGTCTATCGAAAATATTGCACAATATAGAGATAAGATCTGCGTATATACTATGCTACTCATACTCTACTTGTGAAAACAAACAATTTTTTTTTTATACCCACAATATTTATTACTCATTTCAAATCATTTTCTCAAATTCAATAAAATATACATCAATTAATATGGGTATCATGGTAATTTATGCACTTCATTTATTATTTCTTAAAGAGCTTAAAAAAATTAAAACGTGACAGTAAAAGTGAATCCGATGGAGTATAAGAAAAGTATGTTTAAGTCAGCGTAAACAAGTCCAGTCAGCATAGATAATCACATTCCTCGTTTAAATTCCTTTCAAGTCAACGTATTATGAGGATTTAGGATTTATCATGAATTAGGTAGTTTAACTGGCAATGTGAGCAAGCTCGCACTTAGTTGGAAAAAAAGGCACGAGCAAGAATTTAATATCATTATACAAAATTACTTGCATGTTCATTATATATCAGTGTTTAAAAAGACGTTTTAAAAAATTTTAACGTAAGGCAAGGCGTTTTCTTTTATACGGGGGAAGCGTAAGCTCCGAAATGCTGGGCGTGAGCCCCATGGAATTTAATTCTTAATATTTTATATATATAAAACATGTGCAGGCAGGGGCGGAGAGTTAGCATACGAGACACGGGTTCGGCCGAACCCAATAGAATTTGGTCCAAACTATATATTTGTCTTAAGAAATTCATTAAATATGAACAAATTATTAATTTAGAACCCAATAACTTAAATAGACTAATATCTCGAACCCATAAATTTCAAATCATAACACCGCCTCTATGTGCAGGAACATTATACCTATAACATGACTATAATTAGAACATATTTAGAGTTGTAAGAATGATACTCTATAGTTCCTAATACCCACAGACCTCACGGATCGAAATCTTTTCTAATCGCAATTTCTTTCACTTGCGCGGTTGACTTAATTACGCTAATTATGTGCAGTTTCGTTCTCAATAATTCGACAAATCTTATAATTACTTCAACAAAAAACTATAATACGGGAAATATCGTATAATAAAGACACAAAGCAAATAGAAATCAGTAGAAAGGTGACGTTTTAACACATGATGCCTATGATATATAGGCCAAACAAACTAATTAACTAACATTTTGAAAAATGAAAGGTTAACTAAAAAACATGTAATTTAATTTATTTGAGCCTTGAGAAACGATAAAGTTATCTTTGTGTGACTTATATGTTACGGGCCGAGTCATGAAAACAGCCATTAATGCTTGCATTAGGGTAGGATGTGTACTTCACAGTTCACACCCCTTAGGGTGCAACCCTTTTCGACTTTTCCGGATCCTACATGCACCGGGCTGCCCTTTTATGTGTGCAAGAAGACTAGAGCTGTTTGATTTTGGAGTTTTGCTACGTGGCAAAAGATTCTTTAGAGTTGTCTCTTTGATTCTAAGGTACCAAAAATCCCAACAAAGATAAAGAGTTGGCGAAGAGAGGATTGCACTTGTTTATAGAGTTCGTTTCGATGTATTTAACCTAATTTGTGTTATCTAGAATCGTGTTTGTTGAAAAAGGACTTTCTTTGTTAGTTATGAACATTTTTTTTCTTTAATTAAATACTTAATATATGCATGCACCTAACTTGTATCTTCTTAAATGAATTATGCTTCGTTGTCAGTTAGTTATCAAGGTTTTAGTTTTAAAAAAGGATTTTTCCTTTTTTAAATTCATTAACCAAATATATGAAGCCTATTCAGATTTGTTGTGAAAATACAATATACCTCACTTTAGGTTTAAGTCAAGTATCAACTTTTAAGAAAGCCGCAACAAGCAAGTGAATCTCATTTATCATCAATGTACTATTGCATGATTTCTGTTATTCTTTTGAATTTCTTACTTCATGTGAAATCTCATAAGTAAAGATGTTTGATGAGGACTTGGCCATCTGTCTGGTAAAATCATAAAAATTTACACCTTTTTAAAAAAAAATTAATATGCTTAATCATTAAATATTTAACTAAAATCTTTTGTTTCTCTATTAAATGTCTCGCTTAATTAAATAAAAAAATAATATTGTATAGCCGTTCTCAAAATAATAGCCGAATAAATGTATATATATATAAATTTATACATTTTTATGACTATCGGATATAAATAATTTTGATTACGGACTAAAAGTAATTTTTGCCCTAATTAATACTCTACTAATTGAAGCTATTAGGACGAATAAAAAAAATACTTTTTATTGTTTTAGAACGTCATATATTATATTTCACAACAAATTTACTTTGAGAAAACAAAGGACTTACTCCACGCACTTCCCCAAACAATTTTTGTTAGTTAATGATTTGGACCCTGAAATGTGACATGGTATAATACATACACAAGACAAATCCAAATTATTGTTAAAGGGGACAACCTGATAAGTGATGTTACTTCTAGGCCAAACAACCTAACATTTTGCAAAATGACTGTCGAAATCAAAACATTATAATTAGTACTCACTAGCTAGGCATTTGCATGTGTGCAAGAAAGTATAGAGCTGTCTGGTTTTGGTGTTTTCTATGGCAAAAGATTCTTTAGGGTTTTCCCTTTTATTCTAAGGTATTGTAGTGTACCTATTAATTATGTCAAACTAACAAATGCATTGCATGTATTTGCATAAAAACAAATTACTATTTAATTATAACAAACACATTTTCACCTCATTTTATCACTTAATTATGATAAACTATAATTTTGTTTAAATATTGAATGTGTGTAAATTATTTTCATACTAATATCCCTCCCCAACTAGGGGCGGATCCAATTGTTTAGCTATGAATTCAATTGAACTCATAACTTTTATTATAGGCCTGTATTTTACAAAATTTACGAAAATTGCTGAAAAAATTGAGCTACAAACTCATAACTCAAACAAGATGATGGATCACTAATTGAAATCAGAATCTTGAACCCATAAAATTAAAAATCTGAATCCACTTATGTCCCCAACGTTGGGGGGGGGGGGGGTAAGTTATTTATTCATACAGCCATATTTTAGCATCTGCATATATATGTCCTACCTAATTAATTTATTCTGGAAGTTGTGATATCTTAGTAAAGCTTAGTTGGTAAAGATGGGGTAATCTTTCTTTAGGGATATCGTATACCTTTTCTGGTTTTATTAGTTTGAACTTTGAACAACTATTTTCTTTAATTAAATACATAAAATACACATGCATGTGCCTATTGTATGTGTTGTTTAATTAAGTTATCATCTTTCNCGAAAGGTTAGAAATCAACAAAAGAAAAAGTAAGTGAACCTGACCTATTGAATCATGACTATATCCGCTATTCTGATATTAAAATTCGATAGAGATGAAATTGGAGCAGTTGATTTTTTTTTTTTTTTTTTTTTTTTTTTTTTGGATCAAATAATTCATAAACCAAATTTATGAAGATCTAGTCAGAATTTGCGAAACTATCGTCAGATGATAATGGTAACACATACAATAGGAGTGCCAGAGTAAATGATTTCCTACCAAACAAAATGGATTACTGTTAAGGAAGTTGTGCGAGGGGTAAAGGGATAATTGCACATCTTATTCCCTTTTTAGCAAATTTTAATTTTAGTCCTTTTAATTTCAAACTAAACATTTTTAATCTTCAATTAAAACAGTTCTGCACTTTTGGTCCGCATATTTCCACACATGAGACTAGAGCTCTAAATTTGGCTAAGACTTGAGAGTAACCGTCAAGCGAATGAACAGTCATATTATCTAACAGGAAAAGTTTTGATTCTGCCCAACAACATTTAAAATTGCTCAATTTCATCCTCTATTTTATTTTTTGTCCATTTATACCCTTGCCTTAAGCAAATCATCTTGTATGTCCTTCTCATTAAGAGAACTGCAGCATGAAGTTGGTCCAAATTCTTTTAGAAAAAATGTTCAAAATTTACTCCTCAATTTTAGACTATGATTTAAAATTACTCTGATGTTAGCGCTTGCGTTATGGGTCAAGGATAAAAATGAAACTTTTATATAAAGGTAGGACAATATTAAATCAAAAGTCTAATAAAATAACTTAATTTCAAATAGTATAGCAGCAAATTTAACCTTTTTCCCTTATCTTAAGATGTCATGCAACCAATAGAGTTGGTTCACAAATTGCAGGAATCACTTCTAAAATGGAAGTAATTCAGAACTATCAGGGCTGTATAATAATAATCTGATTATTCAGCACATATGCTTGTTTCCAGCATCCTAACAAAGAAGAAACAAACTTCAACCATGAACTGTGTCATCAATTAATAAAGTACATATTAGCTTAATACTCCATTAAGCTTCTTCGCATTCAGCGAATGCGCACAACTGACAAAGGTTTCCCTTCTCCAACTAAGATACAGCTTCTTGGTCCAAAGAATTAATCCACTTCCACTCAAAATTTTAGTGTCTAGTGCCAGAAAGCATGAATTTGGAACTTCTAAAGCAACAAGGAGACTCAGCTGAGATTAAAATGCAGATCCGCTGTTCTTAGTCTTTCCAGTCAATATGTCTTTTGCTTCATTAATTTTTGAAGCAAGGTAGTGACTGCCCCCTGCATCTGGATGGTTGGCAACCATCACTTTCCTATGTGCCTCCCTCACTTTCTCTGGTGGCGTGCTTTCCCTGTTGAATGTGCAAATACTTAGTGGAAAATGAATTGATAATACTTTTCTCCACTTTAACAAGTATGGGAGTATATATTATTACAATCAACCAAACCACAAGCCTATAAGGGGGAGAGGGGAGATAGGCGACAAAGCATACTAGACCAAAAGTCAGGAAATGAAACCTGAGGGATAATAAGAAACAAATTAAATATGTTATTTGCCCATATATTCTACTACAAGCG